GAACCTTGAGGCCATCATACAAAGTGAAATAATCCAGTTAGAAAAAGACAAATGCTGCGGGACTCCACCTATGTGAGGTATCTAAAGTAGTCAAATTCATAGAAACAGAAGACTGGATGGTGGCTGCCAGGCATTGTGGGGAGGGGAATGGAGAATTAGTGTTTCATGGGGACAGAGTTTCAGTCTGGGAAGATGAAAGAGTTCCAGTGATTAACAGTGGTGACAGTCGCACAGCAACGCGATGCACTTAATGCCTTGCGTCTGAACTGCCACTGAACTGTTTACCTGTAATGATTAAAATGGTAATCACACCTGTAATCTCAGCGCTGCGCAAGGCCGAAGCAGGAGGATCACTTGAGGCCAGGAGTTCAAGACCAGCCTGGGCAACATAGTGTGACCCTGTCTGTACAAAAAAAAGTTAAAATGTTAGCTGGGCGTGGGGCACGTATCTGTAGTCCTAGATACTTGGGAGGCTGAGGTGGGATCCCTTGAGCCACAGAGGTCGAGGTGGCAGTGAGCTATGATCATGCCACTGTACTCCAGCCTGAGTGATAGAGCAAGACTGTCTCAAAAAAAAAAAAAAGGTAAACCTTATGTGTATTTTGCCGTAATTTCCAAAACCAACCTGCTGGTAGCTGTGTGTAAGTTGACTCTGGTGGGGGGCTTGCCTGGAGGCAGGGAGACCATGAGGCAGCTACTGTCATGGTCCAGGTGAGAGGCGGCCTGAACCGGGGTGGTGGCGCTTTTCCCTCCCACAGTGGTGAGGTGGGGAGAAGGGGTAGATTCTGGATGACGTCTGAGGATGCATCAAAGGATTGGCTGTGGGGCCTGAGAGAAAGGGAAGGGCTCTGGCCTGGGGGTGGGGAAGGAGGGAGGAAAACTGAGTTCTCTGTCCATCCTGAGCTTGGGGTGTCTGGAGGCATCCAAATCTGGGCTCTGGGACCGCCTGACCAATACAGCATCGTGCTAGGCCCGGGCCTTAAGGAGCTGGTAGCTCCCACTTGCTGTCTCTGCTTACTCTTGAAACCCAGTGAGTGAATCTGGGAGATTCTGCCCCGGCCACTGTCTGACTGCAGCCACACGTGAGGGGCACAAGCCACAACCACCTTGCTGAGCCCAGCAAGTTCACAGGACCAGGAGCAAGCAGGATAACATGGCAGCTGCTGCTGTGAGCCACTGAGTTTTGGAGTGATTCACTATACAGCAGGAGAAAAATGAAACACATAGGTAACCACGCTGTTGAGGAATTAGTTCAGGAGACATGATTTTTTTCCCCGATCACTTACATTCTGCTGAGTAAAGATGTCTCCTTTTGACACTTTAAGCCAATTCTCTAACTGTTCAGCCACTTCTGGTTATCAGAGTGGCACCATTCCTATATTTAAGACTGACTCATGCTTCTTTGATAACTTGGCTTTCATCTCAACTGAAAACGATCGGTCTCAGCAACAGTAAATCTGAAAGACAGCTGAACCAGGCCCCAGTGGTCCTGAGGTGACAAGAAGGACGACATGACAGCCTGGATGTTGCTCATGGCTGTTTCCCCACTCCTTTGCAGAGTGACCCCCTCGTGACTTTGTGGTGTGGCTTAGTCTGATCAACACATTATGAACAGAAGTGACGTGTGCTCCCTCCTACCCTTGTATCCTCTTCCCCTGTCACGAGACTGGACCCTCATGCTGGAATGGGGGCTCCTCCACCAGCCGGGGTCCCTGGTGACTCTACTGAGCATAGCCCGCCCCTGCCAATCCAGCCTGGACGCACAGTGCAAGCAGGAAATCAACTTGGTGGTTTGATCCCTGAGATTCAGCGGATTGCTCATTTCAGTAGCATAACCTCACTAGTCCTAATGGACACAGTAACAACAGAAGTTACTGGTTTTTTTTTTTTTTGAGATGGAGTCTCACTCTGTTGCCCAGGCTGGAGTGCAGTGGCACAATCTCGGCTCACTGCAACCTCCGCCTCCCAGGTTCAAGAGATTCTCCTGCCTCCGCCTCCCAAGTAGCTGGGAACTACAGGCGCGTCCCACCACGCCCAGCTATTTTTGTATTTTTAGTAGAGAAGGGGTTTCACCATGTTGGCCAGGATGGTCTCAATCTCCTGACCTCGTGATCCACCCGTCTCCACCTCCCAAAGTGCTGGGATTACAGATGTGAGCCACCGTGCCCTGCCGTTACTGGTTTTTGAGCTGAGAAGGTGAGTATGGGAATGAGCCATGTGGCTAGCAAGGGCCAAGCGGTCCAGGCAGAGGGAACAGCGTGTGCCAGGGCCTTCAATGGGAGTGAGCTGGGTGTGTCCAAAAAAATCAGAGCGGTAGGTGGTTCCTTTTCTTTGTTCCCCATACTCGTGAGTATTGGGGCTCTAGGGTTTTTTGAGGAGATTTGGGGCCAGCTCCTTGCCTCGGGGGCAAGATGAAGGGGAAGCTGGCTCCAAATCTCCCCAGACAAACCCTAGAGATCCCAGATAGCCGAGTCCTCCTACAGATTCTCAGACCATGCCTGTGGGAGGACTCGGCTCTCTGCTCCCCCGCTGTACTATCTCTCGGTCTAGCCAAGACCCCCAGGCCGTGGTGCAGAATTGGGGGATCCAGCATGCTGCACTGTCAGGGGCTCATGCCCCACAGCTCTCCTGGGCAATGGCTTGGCCCTGCCACGCCTCATGTCATTTCCTCCCCTCTGGACCCTCTGCCCCCTCTGTCCAGTGCAGCCCCTCCATGGCCATCTGGACACCCATTTCTGTAACTGTCAGCTACTGGGAGCTGGAGCCCTTCACCCCGGTTCTCCTGTTCGCTGCTCCAGTAGCCCAGCATCAGCCACCTGGGTGCAAAACACTCATCTCCCTTTGCAGGCCCCTCGCCCCCTTAGCTCCAGCCACCCGGCCTGGCCTGTTCCGCATGGTGGTGATCTACAGCCTCCACCTACCTGGTCCCACCTCACAACGGGGTTAGCAGTGGAAAGGGCTGAATAGGGACGAGAACTCAGAACAGGAGAGCCCAGAGCCTTTTGTCAATGGCGCCAAACCTTGGCGCTGCTTAAGTCCTATAGGAACTAGAAGTTTCTGACCCTGATATGACTCAATATCCCCTGGTATCCAGATCAGCGGTGGCAGGCTGGGTGTGTGGGCTGGCGTCCCACCACCAGGCCTGGACCCAGATCGACCGCTTAGCCCGCAGGTCCCCTGAGACACGCAGCTGAGGGGCACCACTTCCCACTCCCATAAAAGCCAAGGAGAGCTCAGGAGTCCCAGCAGAAGAGAGCTGCACCGGCCTGGTGAGGGCTGGATCTGCCCCTCCCCTGCCTCAGTGTCCCCATGTGCCCTGAGATGCTCCAGTGCTTGACAGGAAACCACCAGGCACACTCTGGCCTCACAATCCCACTCCAGGAATCTGCCCGAAGGAAACAGCATCCCAGTATCAAGGTGCCTAAAAATGTGATGGCCAGAAATGTGAAACCACCCCAGCATCCCTTGGCTGGGGATGTGTCACATAAATCATGGGACACCTGTCAGATGGATGACGCTGTGTAGCGCGAATCAGGAAAGTATCTGGGCCTAAGGGACATGACAAGTGTGGCTTCAGTCCACGAGGAGCCACGAAGAATAAGGGCTTCTTCTTCCTGACCTTCAGCTCCTCCTCCTCATGGCCCCAACATGGCTGCTGGGCTCCAGGCAGGAAGCAGGGAAGCTCAAAGGGCAAACCCAGTGGCTTTTCTCAATGGCCAGAGACAGGTCACACCCCAAATTATGGGAGGCTGAGGTATAGTTTTAATTGGCCCAGGACAAATGTGGGCTTCGGAGGTAAGAGAGAGGGTAGGACCAAGAGCTACCGAAAGAGCTCTGAGTTCATTTTAAGTAGAAGCAAACAAGAGGCGCAGCAGCAGGCAGAAACATCTAAAATTATGCCTGCAGCAGGTGTGGCTATGTACACACAGGCCTGCGGTACAGACTGTCCCTTCTGGGAGTGAAGCTGGGAGGGTAGGAAATTCGTCACCCTTTGTTCGTTTGTTTTTTTTTTTGAAATGGAGTCTCGCTCTGTTGCCCAGGCTGGAGTGAGTACAGCGGTGTGACCTCAGCTCACTGCAACCTTCGACTCCTGTGTTCAAGCAATTCTCCTGCCTCAGTCTCCCAAGTAGCTGGGATGACAGGCGCCTGCCACCACGCCCGGCTATGTTTTTGTATTTTTAGTAGATACAGGGTTTCACCATCTTGACTAGGCTGGTTTTGAACTCCTGATCTCGTGATCTACCGCCTCGGCCTCCCAAAGTGCTGGGATTACTGGCATGAACCACCACACCCAGCTGAAATCGGTCACCTTTTATAAAATTGCTTTGACAAGTGATTGGGTTAAAGGTGACTATGATGGTTGTAAAGTATGTCTGCCAGTTTTCTTCTCACCAGTCAGCACTCTGCCCTGCCTAGCAATGGAGTCCAACTCTCCTCCCCGTGTTAGAAAGCAGCCTTGACTCCCAATGGACCGACACAGCATGATTTCCAAGGCCAGGACCTGAAAGGCAAAATGGCCTCCACCTGGTACTCACATTGCAACTCTCACATTGGAAACCAGACGCCATGTTGCAAGGAAGCCCAGGCCACATGAGGCAGCCATGTGGAGGTGTCACGGCTGTGAAATAAAAATAAAACCTTAAGCCCCACTGACTGACTGACTGAATGTTTGTCTTGGCCAAGGAGACCTGGCCATGACAGGACAGGTGAGTCACACCTCAGTATACCCCTTCCTCACTAACCAATACCAGATTATTTTTCTTCAGAGTTAAACAGAAACTAGCCCTGAAAACAAACAAACAAAAAAACGGGAAGTCTCCTCTGCTGACTCTAACATCAGCCAACCACCGTTACCTTTGTATTTTTTGGTATTAGAAGTAATTATTTTGTTTTACTTAACACCCCTCATCTGCACTTTAACAGACAACAGCTGCAGACCTCTCCATGGGTCCCTGCTTGGAGCATCACATCCTGTGGAGGAAGGTGCTGAGGTAGCCATCTGTAGTTGCTGAAAAGAAGTTTATTGCTATTTTCTTATTTTATGATACAAAATTAGATTTGCTTAAAACATCTACCAGTCTCTTTAAAGGAATGCTAGTTAGTGGGAGGCCACAGCCAGTATCTTACCCTCAGTAGTGGTTTCAAGTAAGCCATAACTATAAAAATCATTATGGCCAGGCCGTGTCGGAAAAGAACACTCCCCCTGCTGGGGTCCTCAGCCTTGGATGTCAGCTTGGCCCCCTGAGGGGTCCCTACACCTGGAATCTGATTCCACTGAAGAGTCTCAAGCTGGGCGCACGTGGAGTTGCAGCTGACTGGCTGGTGGGGTCAGCCTGGCCTCCCGGTGTGGAATGTGGGCATCGGCCTCACTCCTGGGTCACCCTAGTGCATATGCTGTGGGCTGTCGTTGCATCCCTGTGGTCAGACCAGAGGCAGGCAGGGGCTGCCTGCAGTTCACCATATGCACCATCACCTGGGCTTGGGGTGAGCTGGAGGAGGCACTGAGGCCCAGAGGCCTGGGGATCCCGGGGTCCTTGTCCACGCCGCAGGTCACGCTGGCCAGCTTGCTGGTGCTCTCGCCATAGTCTCTGTGGAGAGAAGAGGCATGAGCTGGCAAAAGAGTGAGGATAGCGTTTAACCCCCAGCTCTACACCTTCCCAGGTACGCAGGCCCTGGGCCTTCAGTAGGCCTGGGGCAACTGCTGCTCTGAGCATTGGGGAGCCTGTTTCCTCTTGCCGGGAGCTGCCCTGCACCCTACGGTGCACAGAGGCCGCTCCATCTCCCTGCTGGGCCCTTCATCCATACAACCAAGGCATGGCCCAGGAGCCGGACACTTGTCCAGCTACGGTGTGGGAAGGGACTTCCTAGGGCTCAGACTGTGCAAAAACTACTGGGAGCCCAGCTGCCTGGGCAGGGGCTGGGACATCCCAGGCAGAGAAGGGACGCTGGGGAGCAGGAGTGTCAAGGGGAGGACAGCTTCTCTCCTGCTAGGGCTGTCCTCTTTGGCGGCCAGGAGCCAGATGGCCCACCTGCTCCACCCGCAGTACTCTTGTGGCTCTCCCACCCACGGCCGAGACAAACCAAGCCATTTCCCAGGCTGACCAGACCCTGGCCCTGCCCTGTCTCCGCCCTTCACACACATTAGCCTCGGCTCCAAGCGGGCTGCCTGGTGGCTCCCATCTCCAGCCCTTTGCATGTTATTTCCTCCCCTCAAAGGCTGTCTCTCTACCCTCCCAAAGCAAGCTCTCTTAGTCCTTTCACTTCTGGCATCACCTCTTCCAGGAAGCTTTCCTGGATCACTGTTCCTACCCACAGCTAATTCTCAGAAAAACTTTAGGAAGTAGTAGGAATTAAGAAATGATCTGCTGGTGCAATGAGTAAGTGAATGCATCAATCATTAGTGGAGGGGAAAGGCAGCTTCATGGAGCTGGGAGCCAGACCAACTTCACCTAGCCTGACTCTTACTGGTAGTGTGGGAGTCTACACAAGTTTCTTAACCTGCCTGGTTCTTCACCTGGAAAATGGGATAAAAGTAGTACCCACCTCTAGGTGAAAAGGGTTAATAGTTGAAAGAGTTCAGAACAGTGTTTGGCACACTGCAAGTGCTGAGAAGTATTTATGAAATAAAAACAAGGTCAAGAGGCAAACCCCACCTTGCCAAAGGGAATTTACCACCTGTGGAGGCAGCCTGGGCCCTGCCTGGGGGTGGGCAGTACCAGCACAGGCATATCCCAAGGACCCTGCTGGGAGCCCGGGGTCCAGGACTCAGGGAACTCTGCCTGCATCGGCTGGGTAGCCCTGGGCAGGACCAGCCTTCTCTGAGTCCCCACGAAGCTGGACTGAGTGCTTGATGTCCCCATGTATGACAGCTCCAGGAAGGGGCTCTGCCCTAAGGGTCCTCCCCCTCCCAATCAGCGCTCAGCCTCACCACCACTTCCTGCCTCTTGAGCTGACTATCACAGTGGCCCCCAACATGGCTCTCTCACTCCCTGGGGGAGGTAAGCACAGCTCCCTACACAGATCTGTGGCCGCCCTTGGATGGGGCACACATGTCTGACCACACACTGCAAGTCCCTGCAGTGTAAGAGCTGGTGTCTGTGGCGCTGGGACGAGGCAGATGTGTAGCCCCAGGCAGCACCCCTGGGAGCCCCTTGGCCTCATGCTCTGGCCAGCAAAGCCCCTGCAGCAGCAGCAGCAGCCATGGCTGCCCGCATCCTGGACACCATGTTGCCTTGAGAGGCAATTGTTCCTTCCCCCAGTCCATGGGCACTTTTCCCAGTTATGACACAGGACGGTCTGGCCCCGGTGCTGTAACGGGGAGCAGGGATCACAGGCGGGGCAATGGAGGAGCTCTGAACCTGCCTTTGGATATCTTACTCCCCAGAAGGAAATGCATTAGCCACCAGGGCCCCAACAAAACTAAAATGAAAGGGAAAGGAGGCCGGGCATGGTGGCTCACACCTGTAGTCCCAGCACTTTGGGAGGCTGAGATGGGTGGACTGCTTGAGAGCAGGAGTTTGAGACCTGCCTGGCCAACATGGTGAAACCCCGTCTCCACTGAAAATACAAGATGAGCCAGGCGTGGTAGCGGGTGTCTGTAATGCCAACTACTCAGGAGGCTGAGGCGGGAAAATTGCTTGAACCCAGGAAGAGGAGGTTGCAGTGAGCTGAGACTGTGCTATGGCACTCCACCCTGGGCAACATAGCAAGACTGTCTTAAAAATAAAAAAAGGAAAGAGCCCTGATAAAC